TGCACCAAATAACAGAATGATATTTCAGATTTCCCATCTTAACACTCAACTACATTAATTACACTACAATGGGTCTTAGTTTATGTCTTTTGGTCAATTAAGATAATATTTGCCTCCCACATTCACCATAAATATCTAAAATTCACTCAGCTAAGCCTTAAGTTTATTGTCAAGAATGGAAATAATGCTAAGTCTGAATTCAAGTTTCTAAATTATTTTAGTATGATAAAAGCTTAAATGAGCATACTCTTGCATTCCTTGCCCATTATTATTTCAGCTTGCAGATCAAGTCACATGACTTGGACTGAACTGAAAGTAAGTAGCCATATTTATGTCTCTGCGGCTCAGCAGAACTGGGCAGCCTTGAATGGACCCTACAAAGGAGCTTGCTACCACATAAGCATTGGGACTCAAAAAGTTAGTTTCAGATTACCCTGCATATTACACTTCTACTTTAAAATCAAATGTTCCAAATAGTCTGTTCCAAATAGGAAAGGAAGCTTATCAAATCTTCTTGTCATTAAAAACACTAGGGAAAAGTGCTACTGACATAAAATTGTAACCAAAAAAATGGGCAAGAAAAATGTTTGGTATTAAAAATATATAAAGATATAATAAAATTTTATATGACTCCTAACTGTATATATTACTCCTAACTGTATATATATATATCTCTGATGAGTGAAAATAATTCTTTGGCTTGTAAAAATATTTTACTGCATTTACCAGCTTTAAAATAATGTACAATATACAGAAAAACAAACAATTGACTGTTTATTTACTAATAGGGACAAGAGTCAACTTGCATTTAATAAAAAAAATACTCAACCTGTATTTAAAATCAATTATTCCAGCATACAGAGCCACAGCAGAAAGTTTAAAACAAGAATTTCTTTTTCTTCCACAAAACTTGCATTATTAAGGAAAATACAACTCCTCTTTCATTATTGACTCCATCCATTTTCAAGTGAGCTCATTTGAACTGTCAAACTTGAGTTTCTACTTGACTGCACAACAGATGCATGAAGCTGAATACACTATATTTGGGAAAATGCCCATCATTGATAAATCACAAATACTATTAAAATCACTGGAAACACAAATTGAAACTTACAGATGTTCCTAACAAAAAGGATAAAAAGTATACATTGGATAACTTTTGTTTGTTGACTACTGTTCCTTTTTTTCTCCTCCAAAATCTCTTATTTTAAACAACTTGTCCAGCGTGAAAATAAAAGCATGACATGCTAGAACATTGATCATAATTTAATCACTAGAATTTAAAATTTGGAATTAACTCTAAAATTAACTGGCATATCTAAGTTTAAATGTAGCAAATAAGTCTGACGTTCAAGAAGCACTTGGACAATGGTTTCAAGGCACATGGTGTATTCTTGGGGCTGTCCTGTGCAGGGCCAGGAATTGGACTTCAATGATACTTGTGGGTCCTTTCCAGCTCAAAATATTCTGTGATTTTTCTCCTGTTTCCGAAAAACTGACTGTTCTTTGACATTAGGAAATACATAATTTAGGAATAATTTTCTAGCACATTGCCCCATGGCAAAAATACACATACAGTATGTTCATATATATTTTAGAATCATAGAATGGGTTGGAAGGGACCTTAAAATTCCCTAGTTTCAACTCCCTTGCAATAGGCAGGGACACTTCCATAGATGAGGTTACTTAGAGCTCCATCCAACCTGGCCTTGAACACTTCCAGAGATGAGTAGTCCACACCTTCTCTGGGCAACCTGTTCCAGTGCCTCATCACTCTCACAGTAAAGAATTTCTTCCTAATATCTAAGCTAAACCTACTGTCTTTCAGATAAAGACCACTCCCCCTTGTTCTATCACTACATGCCCCCTTAAGGTACTGGAAGGTGCTCTAAGGTCCCCCCAGAGCTCCTCTTCTCCAGGGTGAACATCCCCAACTCTCTCAGCCTGTCATCATTGAAGTGCTCCAACCATCTGATCAACTTTGGGACCCCCTCTGGACTCATTCCAACAGATCAACATCTTCTTGTGCTGGGGCTCCAGAGCTGGATGCAGCACTCCAGGTGGGGTATCACAAGAGCAGAGCAGACAGGGAGAATCACCTCCCTCGACCTGCTGGTCAAGCTTTTGATGCAGCCCAGGATGTGGTTGGCCTCTTGGGCTGCAAGTGCACATTGCCAAGGCATATTAAACTTTTTGTCCAAATACCCCCAGGTCCTTCTCCCCAGGACTGGTCTCAATCCATTCTCCACCCAGCCTCTACTTGTGATTGGGATTGTCCTGACCCACATGCAGGACCTTGCACTTGTCCTTGTTGAATTTCATGAAGTTTGCACAGGTTCACCTCTCAAGCCTGTCAAGGTCTCTCTGGATGGCAACCCTTCTTTCTAGCATTGTCAATCACACAGCTTGGTGTCATCGGCAAACTTGCTAAGGATGCACTTGATCTCACTGCCCATATCACTCACAGATGTCACACAGCACCAGTCCCAATACCCATCCCTGAGGAATGCCACTTGTCACTGATTCCCACTTGGACATAGAGAAACCATTGACTGCAACTCTTAAAAGTGTGACCATCCAATCCATTTTTTATCCACTGAGTGATCCATCCAACAAGTCCACATCTCTCCAGTTTAGAGACAAGGATGTCATGCAGGACAGTGTCAAATGCTTTGCACAAGTCCAGGTAGATGACATCTGTTGCTCTTCCCTTGTCCACCACTGCTGTAACCCCCTTGTAGAAGACTACCAAATTTGTCAGACATGATTTGTCTTCAGTGAAGGTATGCTGGTTGCCACCAATCACCTCCTTATTTTCCATGTGCCTTAGCATTGTTTCCAGGAGGAGCTGCTCCATGATTTTGCCAGACACTGATGTAAGACTGACTGGCCTGTAGTTCTTGAATCTTCCTTATTTCCCTTTTTAAAAATGGGTGTTATGTTTCCCCTTTTCCAGTCAGTGGGAACTTCACAGGACTGTCATGCCTTCTCAAATATGATGGATAGTGGCTTAGACACTTCCTTGGCCAGTTTCCCCAGGATCCATGAATGTATCTTGCCAGGTCTCGTGGACTTGTGCACGGGAACCTTCACGTTCCTTAAATTGTGTCAAACCTGGATTTTTCCTACAGCAGGTGGTTCTTCATACTCCCAATCCCTGCTTTCACCTGCTACAACTTGGGCAGTGTGGTTGAAGCACTTGATGGTGAAGTCTGAGGCAAAAAACCTGAATAAGTCAGCATTCTCCATGCCCTGAGTAACCAGGTCTCCTGTACCCTTTCTGAGAGGACCCACATTTTCCCTAGTCTTTCTTTTGTTGCTGATGCACCTAAGGCAGCTTTTTTTTACCCTTGATGTCCTTGGCCAGATTTACTTCTGCCCACGTTTTAGCTTTCCTAACCAGATCCCTAGCCCTTCAGACAATTTCTCTGTATTCCTCACAGGCTACCTTTTCCTGCTTCTGTTCTCTGTAAACTACCTGTTTGTATTTAAGTTTGTCCAGGAGTTCCTTGTTCATCTATGCAAACCTCCTGGCATTCTTCCATGACTTCCCCTTTGTAGAGATGCATTGTTCTTCAGACTGGAGGAGACAATCCTTGAATATCATCCAGCTCTCTTTGGCCCCTCTTCCCTCAAGGGCCCTAGCCCACAGTACTCTACCAAACAGATCCCTGAAGAGGCCCAAGTCTGCTGACCTCAAGTCCAGAGTGGTGAGCTTGCTGTGCGCCGTCCTCACTGCCCCAAGGATCTTGAATTCCATCATTTCATGGTCACTGTAGCCAAGGCTGGCCTTGAGCTTCACATTCCCCACCAGCCCTTCCCTGTTGCTGAGGACAATGTCCAGCATGGCACCTCTCCTTGTTGGTTTCTCTATCACTTGAAGAATGAAGTTGTCATTTATGGGTGTACATTTATAATACACCTGCATCCACTGATTTTTAAACTGTGCTATAATGATGCACTTCAGGTATTAAAATACAGATGTAGTGAACCCAAAATAGCAGATCACAGTTCAGCAACTAATTACAGATATAGGGGCAGTCACTGTTCAACATTTCAACTGGATTTCATAACTCTGATATCAACTTCGTTGAGCCCTTTAAGTTAATAATTAATTTCATATAATTCATTGATGAACTGCTATGGAATTTTCTAGGAAAAACAAGCTACTAAAATATACAATTATAATTACAAATATTCAACTCCATATAAAGTTTGACAAACAGAGTTCAAAATATCAAAATTGGAAAATGACTACCCCAATACAAGTTAGGACCATTTTCCAGGAAACTTCCTGAGATTCAATATTTTAGTATACATTTTCATTGAAATACCTTAAGCTAAACTAACTCGAAAATGCTTAAATATAAAAAATATTCTTAAAATTATTACTAAAGACGAAGAGCACTTCATATAAAAAAGTCACAGTTGAAAAAGATGCTTACATTGCAACTCGTGTCTTATTCCATCTTTACCTCTGCACAAGTTAGAAATTGTTAACTCAAGTATTTTTTCCACCAGAGATTTTTATGCTCCTATTTGCAATTTTAGTAGAAATTTTTACTTGTGAAATAAAAATAGTTTGAACAAGGCAACCTATGATGAGGAGCTACTTTACAAGAGCACCATAACATTTAACAGAGAAAGACCTTGGTGTCTTAAACAGATTTTGAATAGCAGCAGAAAGTTTTCAAAATACCGAACATTAGGAGAAAAGAAGGCTCAATATTACTTTTGTTATATATAGTAAACAGTTTCCTATCTCTTATGACTTCTTTGTGTTTTTAATTTATGGGAAAACAAATAGGTGTTCTTTTGGATCCTATGCATTAATTTATTTTACTCAGAAATAAAGTCAGTACTGCAGCATTTTCTTCTTTTGGTGTGTTTCTGAAATATTTTTCCTTTTGGAATGTTGGTATATTTTGCAATTTAGTTGCATGAGTATATCTAATGCAGTATGATATCTTTTGATTTTCCAGCTCTAGGTAGTAACTTACCAGTAGTATGAGCACAGTAATTCACATTGTTTCTGTAGGACTTTTCATGAGCATGCTGAGGCAGCCTATTCACATCATCAGAATCTAGAGCTTCTGCAGTGCCATCTGATATATTTAATGGCATGCTTCCAGGAAATTTAGCTGGTTCAAATTTTTTCTTTACTGGAAAATCATGCACTGAAATAGACTTTTTCCTATGTTTCTTGGTAGTATTATGTGGCTTAGAGAAACTCACATGACAGAAGTCCCTGCTTGTAAAAGAGTCTTTGCAACAAACTTCTGGACGACTCTGTGATTCATTTGGCACTCTTATTTGTACTTCATTTTCATTTAAATTAGAGGATGAAAAGAAGTCTTCATAAGAAGCCTCTTCAGTACAATACGACTTGCTATATGTAGTAACTGCTTGCAAGAGCCCTTTAGACCCTGATGCACCCAGTTCTGAGGTAAACTTCAAATTAGGTAATGGTTGTAGTTTCTTCCTCTTCTTGTCTTCAAGAATACTATCATTTTTGTCAACAGGGAAGCTTTTATCCAGTGAACATGTATTTAAGTCTTCACTATTCATAGGTGAATTAGAGAGGCTGTCAATCAAAAAAGGAACAGTATTTAGCTGCACTAATTTTTTGGAAGGAGTAATATGATCGAAGTCCCTGAGAAGAGAACTTTCATTTGCAATTGAAGTAGTCTTGCTCTTTTCATTCTTCTGATTTTTCTTTGGAAACTTTGATTGTTTCTTTTCTAAAGACAATTTGTCATCCAAAGTGTGCTGGATAATCCGTTTCTTTGTTAAACTACTTCTGCTATGTCGTTTTGGTGTTAAGCTTTTTCGCTCACTGCCCTGTGATGAAGAATTCACTGATGCACTTGTGGATACAAGACTATCAGTCCAAGTATCACAGGAGTGTTCTACTACCTCTGTTTTCTGTCTCTTTAATTTCTCAGTTTCCCAAAGATAATCATAACTTGAGTTCAAGCAGTCTTCCATTTGTTCTCCTGCAGAACACAGAAAGTGTTGATATAAATTTATCAAACAAAACAGAAAGAGTATCAATTTCTCAGTAAAATATATAAGGAATTACTGAACCAAAAAAAGGATTTAGCCACTTCTCTGGGTATTATATGGTAAGTCATCAAAAACTAAACAGAAAATGGATTAGAAACAAAGTACATTCTGTGTTGACAAGAATCTAGCTATATCGTATCTCCTTACCTGGTCATTAAGCACCCATAAGTCCTGTTCTGCTTTCTTGAAACACAGCAACAGAGGAACTCACTTTCACTCTTGTATTTGTGGAGAAAATCAGCAAGATTTTACTGATAAAGCTCGCTAAAGTAATACTGGAAACTCAGTAACCATTTCTGCTACCACAGCGTTAGCACCACCTGGTAGCTTTTGCAGTCAAGAAATTAAATACATCATAGTATACCACATACATCGACACAATGTATTAAAAATAATTAGAGTGGAAAAATGTATAATTTCTTGTAGCAATTCTTAAGAAATTATTTTGTGTGCGGTGGTACACAATATATTGATAACTCTTCAAAACAAATTCCTCTGAAACAAGATAATACCTCTGATTATTCAGAATACATTTTTAAAAATCCTGTTGTTCTACAATCTGATAATTGCAATAGATGCTTCTGCTTAAATACATGTTGAGTTCAAAGCTTCAGCAATATTTCTGCAAGCGCTCCTGTGGATTTTAGGGGAAGTCTTGATGTTTTTTGCTTAAAAAATATAGATAATATTTTTAAACATAGGGTGTAGCTAACTACACTAAGAAAAATGAAATATATGGAAAAGAAAGGATCTAACTCAAGTGACAGTTGAAGAGGTCATAAATTCAGTCCTCAAATAAACCTGGCTTCTTGAAGTTTTTAACCATTATTAACCCACATACCTCATATATCTCTCAAGCACGAACAAAAGGGCCACTGTCACAAAGCATCAGAGATGGAAGCTACACTGAATGCTGTCATGGGATGTGGTGGTCTATTCTTAATGTAAAATTACATTGTGCAGTTGTAATGTTGAACGGACTTACTCAAGGTAAAGCTCTCAAATTGCAATGTTCTACCTCATCAACACGTAACTAATTTACAGAAATAAAAGAAGTTTGCTGGCACAGTTACGCTACTTCCAGTATTAAGCTATCACTTTTCACTAACATTGCACAAAGACATACCACGCTGTTTCAGGCAATGGGATAACGCCCCTATTCTCAGCTAAGCCAACACAACAGAACTCCTGTGTGATGTCAACAAAATACAGCACTTCAGAAAAGCACAAGGTACAGTTTACTGTTGGGGGAGAACAGATATCAGGCAAACTTCTCAAGCAGCCCTCCTCATGAATTTGAAAGGCTGTCTTCTCCTTGCATTTCTACTGAGATCAAACACCAGCATGTCTTGAGCTTTTTGCTCATGTGACTGACAGAAGACATGATGTCTGAAGTACATACCCATTGCACACGTGATCAATACTGTTAAGATTCCCACTGATGTAGCTCAACAGACTTCACAATAATCTCTCGTACATCCTGCTAATATGCCAAAACACAGGAACAAACCCCTAATTTTATGAGAATAACTTTATGAGGGTCTTACCTTTCTAACAAATTATTTTAATTCATCTGCAACCATAAAATATTTAAAAAGCCAAATTATTTTTACTCGTGTTATATCTACCTTCAAACCTGACTACTTAAGCTGGAAAACTCATTAGGCGTCCTTTCGAATTCAAGTCTTCAATTGAAAATTTGGAAGACATTTCAGTTCTTGGAGGTCTCTCTCTCATTCAGATCTCTTTTTAGCTTCCCACATTACACTGTTTCGTGCACATGTTCTATACATGATCACTTTTAAGAGCAGAGAGGACTGACAGCATGTCAGGACAAGAAGTCATTAATGGGGAATGGTATAAGTAAAGATCAGGAAGTGAGGCAAGCAATACAGGAGTAAGGCAGAGCATTTACCCAGTGGGATTCCTCATGCTCTATTTTCCTTGAATTCTTACTACTACATACTTTCTTTAGTTAAGAAAAACTAAGATAATTCAGCTTTAAATGCAGAATATACATATATACATATATATATATATATATATAGTTCCCAGTTCAGTATACTTAACTTTCCAAAATAAGATATAAAATCTGTGTATTATTTTTAATTTCTGCAATATAAAGTTGTGTTAGTTACCTGGTAACAATGCATCTTCTGAATTAGTTAAGACATAAGTAGAATGCGGGCAGTCTCCTGATGAACTACTTGGAAGTATTTGCGTCATTTGTGAACCTAGGAATTTGTAAACAATAAACTAGTTAGTCCTATTTGGAAAATTACAGATTTCCATACCATCTATTCATATTTAGAAACAGCTTAGTTGTACGAGACAACTCACTGCTTTACCAACTATAACCATATAAATAATTATTGACTGCTCAGCAGTCTCAAATTTATATAGCAACAAAAAGCTATTACATATTGGTAAGCATTTTTTTCTAGGTAATTGAGCAGCACATTTTTCCAAAACTAAAGAATGATGGTAAACCATTTAGAAATCTTTACAGACATTTCTAGGGCCTGTTGAGGCATTTTACTAAGGACTCTGTCAAATTCTGCAATTATTTTCAAAGCCTTGATATAGTAGAAATGCTTTTCAATATGTTTGAAGGTTTACCTAAAACTCAGAGAAAATAAATACAAGCCACACTAAATTACATTGAGGTTTAATTTTTCATCCATGGATCACTTTATCCTTACTTATATCTTTACTTTCCTCTCACAATTATTTTTCAAATTAGAAACTCACAGTCTACTTGACACAGACATCTTAAAACTTCAAATACTACAGATTCGTCCCACCAAAAGATGTTCCACATTCAACAGTTTTTACAACTCGCAAAATCTAATGATTTAGACTTTAATATTTTCTCAGTAAGATAATGCAAGCACTGAAAAACATTTGAAAACTACAATCTAGATTTAATTCACCCGGATCTGCATTTTGAAATCAACTAAATTTATTCAATTAGGTTATTCAAATTTATTTAATTTGTAAATCCTGTTGTTCAGTACCTACTCAAAACCTGGGAAGAAGGGAAGACATGCAATCAAGTAAGAGATGAAAAAAAAATCTGAAGGTGAGAACATGACAAGCGTGCAAGAAAGTCAGTAATAAAAACAGTAGTAAATTGTGCATGTTCATAGATAAGTAAAATTTAACTTCTTACCAGTAGGAGAAAGATTTTCTCTTTTTTTCTTCATACCCTTCGTTCCTCTTTCAATTGCATTGCATTGATCTTTCATCTTATTAACAGGGCTGTATACAAGTGAACCATTTTCTTCAAATAGTAAAACTGGTACACCCGTTTCTACACAAAGAAATTGTATTTATATATTAATATTTAAATGCTACAACAACTTCAGATGAAGTTTCATGTTTCTTTCGAAAAAACTTAACAAAAAAATAGTTTCCTTATACCTAGCATCATTACAAATGCCTTAACACCACAGACTTGCAAAGAACTCTGTAAAAAATCAACTTCATTTCTCATGGCGAGATGCATAAAACTAAAAAAAAAAAAACCACACCAAAACCCAAAACCCCACAAAGTGCTTGAAAGAAATAACTTCAGATAGTGGAATGTTAGTCAAAAATAGTTCTTACCAGCATTAATTGTTGTCTTTTGTATAGCTAAATCTTTAGCCATCTGGTCCAGTCTTCTCTGAAGCTTTCTATCATTTTCTGGAGTTTTTTCAACAAAATCTTTTGGTTGCATACATTTGTGCTACAAGACACACAAAACTATTAGTTACATAGTATAAAACTGCCAGAAGTAACTATACTTCCTATTTGTCTACCTCTTCGTCACAGTATTTATTATTGGTGTTTATGCTACTTATCTTGAGAGTCACAGATAATTGTAGAAGTTAACATTTTTGAAAGTGAACTTTAATATGAAGTAGGAAAGAACCTAACAGATCTTTATTGCTTGCAGCAAAGCTAAAGCTTTAAAGGTATTTTTTTTAAAACAGAGTTTGTTTGTAGTGGTTTGAGCCAGGTTTTTCCCCCTGAAGCCAAGAAAGTGGTAACCCCCAGGGGGTGGTGACCCTTGGGGTTTGACCCAATCAGTGCTCCTGCAAAATATAAACATATCTCTCCACCGGAAAAGAAGGTGGTACTTGTTAGAGAAGAAGGGTGGCCATGTTGTAGAGGCCACGAGGAGTCAGGGCAGAAGCCCTGGGGGCTTTGCCCCCCCCCCCCAGCCCCCGGTTGGGAGGCTGCAGGGACTCGAAACAGTGTTAAGCTGGACTGTGTGCCTATGGCTGGAGTGGGAGACGCTGGGAGCAGCGACGGAGCAGCAGCAGAACAGCAGCGTCTGAAGAGCAGTGGCAAAGAGCCAACTGATAAGAACCAAGAATGCAGACAGAAAAACTCCTGCAAGGAAAGAGAGAAAAGAGCCAGCAGCAGAAAAGCAGGAAGAGAACCGAGCCAGCAGCAGAGACAGAGTTTGTTGGGGTAAGAACTAAATAACCAAAACCCCCAAACTCCCCTGGAGACTCCTCTGATGAGACAGGAGGATGATTGGACTCACTTGAAGAGTCTTGGAGTGCAGTATGCACTGCTGAGAGGAGCTAGGAAGCTCATGGCCTCCTGAGAGCTAAAGCCAGGACGGCCAAAGGAATGGGTGTGTGTGGGGTGACCTTGGCTCCCCCCACTGCTGCCAGGCTTCAGAGAAGCTGGCAGCCATCTTTGAGTCAGAGCATGGGAGCTCTGCAGAGGGGCTTGATTTCCCCTGAGGATACCAGACCGTCACAAAGACCCCTGTGCTTCGTGATATGACCGTGGTGACGCAACCTTGTCTGGGGTGAAGCAGCCCACGGAAAGACCCCCGTTTGAAGACGGGGGCCGAGAGAGGCTTGGAGGCCTCCCTTGTGTGTGCTGGCAGAGAGCCAGCAACTGCTGCTGCCTGGAAGAGAAGAAGAAAGCCTGCTGCCTAGAGAGAGACCTGCTGCTCAGAGACTGGAAGGGGTCTTTTCTTCTTCTTCTCTCCTGGACTTTTATTTGGAGGGAGAAGAGATTTGGCCCACTGTAAATATTATTGTCATGGTAGAAATAGAAATAGAGTTAAGATCATATGTAATGTATTATGGTATAAGTATTTATTTATTTGTACAGTCCTGTAATATATTCCTTTCCCCCTATATTGAGTCTTGTGTTTTTGTCTGGAAAACCCATCTCACACGGGGTTGAGATGTGGGAGGGGGGCTAGGAATCAGAATTGGATTTTGAGGCTGTTTCAAACCATGACAGCAACTCAATGAAACATCTTCATTTTTTATTCACCAATACAAAAACTGTATTTTAGTATACTTTCTTCAGGTAAGATGCCACATGATCACAGCAATAGCCTATCTTTAAAATCCTATTTAGATGGATAAGTACAGTTTACAGAACGTTCTGAAAATAAACAGTTCAAATGCCTGAGGTCAGAAAGTTAAGTTCAAACTTTAAAGCTTACTGTTCTAGACCTATTTAAAAATAAAAAAAAAAACCACATACTTTTTTGATCAGTAGTGGAAATCCTTCACTAGTGTCCACTGGAGGAAATAAGGACTCATCAACACGTACTCCAGTTTCTTGACACCTGTACAACAAATTAGAGCAGGTTTGCTGAGGTTTTCTTCTCTTAGTTTTGTTTATTTTTAAGAATGAGAACCTTTACTGCAAAAAAAGCTGTCTGAGCCCTGTAATAATGTAACACCAATCCTTCCTAAGTATGTAACTTTAAGGTAACTACTGTAATGCTAAAAAATCACCCAAATCTATACCTTACATGCCAGATATGTGATACAGTTTTTTGTGCTAATGATGCCCTCTAAATTGCTGCTCTGAAACTGAAAGATTCCCACTCGTTATTTTGCACACATTCCAAAGTTGCGGCTGAAGTCCTTCCTGCAGCCACCAGTGTGGCTCTACTGACACCTAGTGATGAAACTGCTAGAAAGTCTGTGGCTGTACAATTATAATCTAATCCTCAGTTACTCAATTCTGAACGAAGAAAAAAGCCAAACTACTACGTGCATTTTTCAAACAAACTAAATTTAGAATTCTCTGGAGCATCAAAAAGAGATATTCAAAACGATGGACTTTTGTGACTGTTAATGAATTCTGGATAATAATCAGCATAGATGTAGACGATGTGAAAAATTACACTAATTCAGAGATTTTGTTGATTCAGAGAAGCTAAACAGAAGAAAATTTGGCCACTAAATATATGATAAGAATTTTTGCATACAATTCTGAATGTAAATGATTTATCATTTATTTGTGAGACGAGTTAAGAATACACAGGTAGAGTTTCACAACCATGGATTCGATACGGAAGTATTAAGTGTTCCTAATTTGGACGCAGATTGTAGCAATTCTGTCTTTTATAGGGTTCTTTTTGGGTTTGGGTTTTGATGTTTTTTAGGTTGCTCACTGTATTTATGTTGAAGAAGATGCAAAAAGATTTTTCTCAGTGATTCCAAAGCTATCACTCATTTTGCATTAAACTTAAAATTTGTTTGCACAGTAGCAAGTCTATGATTTTGTTCACTGTTTTTAACATGAGACATATCTACCATTCTTAGAAAGGAGACAAAAGAAAAGGAAACTAAACAACTTTTTTTAAATTAAAAATACCTTTACTCTAGAGTTACAAGTTTTTTTAAACTTCAATTGTCTATGTTCCACAGAATTCTTGTTTAGACATGGTCAGATAAAACACTATTTATGTTTTGATAATACTAAACATTTAATTGCTTCAGCAATTTTCTAAACCCATGTAAATCTTTGCTGACTATGTTTCTGCATCAAAGAGTTCTGTTGAAAACCATCATTTACTGTTTTCTCTGAATCTGCATCCAGGTGTATGCATGTGATGCTTTCCCATTCTTCTATTGGAAAGGAAAATATACATTCATTTCATATTCAGCCTCTCTATATGAACATTTGTATTCACAAGAGTCTCTCTCCACCACTCCCATTTCTTTTCCTGACTGAAGCATTATTGTCTCTTCTATCACATCTTATAAGAAAACTATTGTATAACTTCAGTAATGCTAATTGCCATCTCTGGCAACATTCCAAATGTAGCCACAATAAAATGCTGTCATTCCATTCCATGAAGTTTTATGTTCTCTTTAATTTGATTTTTGACTACTGCTGAAGTGACAATGTTATGGAAATGTTTACTGTAAGTCCCAAAATATAATAATCATCTTCTCTCTGATATGCTTAAGAAGACTTATGCTTTAAATAGTCTCCTTGACACTAACAAGAATTTTATTCCCTTTACTGTCTTAGCTTCTTAACAGAACTACTTCCACTTCAAGCAGATTCGCTTTTGAATTTAAGCACTGTCACAGAAGTTCTTGGGTTTGGTGTTCCAGGATGAACATTTATTTTACACTGTGGCCATACTTACAAAAATTACTTAGATATTTCAAGAACCATCCACAAACCAATTAAGACCAAACAATAACTAAGATATTTGGTTTGCATTGCACTCCAATAGGAGTCACCCAACCCCCAGGTTTCACTAGACAGTTGACATTTCCTATTACATTTCCTGAAATGACGTTTCACAGCATTTCTGATCATTCTGAGAATGTTCCCCTTGCTATTGAATGGAGCAGTTGGTTAAGCCATTCATGTTCTTTAGCAATGCTAAAACTTCAACTCATAGGAACTCTACATTATTTGCTTACATAGTTGTCAGTTTTAAACTAAGCTTCTATTCACACAGGACAACTATTTTACTGGCACACACTCTTTACATTTTCCCAGGGTTCAACAGACTGTCTTCTGCCTATCAATGTCTCAGAAACTGAAATACAAAGCATATAAAGTCAGGCACTCCAGTTTCCTCATCTTATTACAAAAAAAAATTTGATTGCTAGCACAGACTGATTTAATTTTGTACTGCCTGTGCCTCATTTGCATAACCCTATGACCAGTAAGAATATGTATTACTATCTCTTATGTAAGCTTCTACCACTCCTGACCTATACTTTGCTCGAGGATATGATATTCCCATAAATTCTGCCTACAGTATGCACCAATCTAAGCTGTATGTTCTTCTGTTCTTCTTTTGGCATTTACTTTAAACTAAAAGGCAGAAGAAAAAGATTACAGAGAAGTTCAATCATAATTCACAGCTTGGGTCCTCCTCTGCAACAAAATACCTCTATTTCAGAGGAGGCCCCCACTTCCAACAAACTTCATCTTCTAAGCCGTATACCACGACCTTGCCTTGGTCCAAATATGATACTAGGAATACTTAAAAAAAATACCAGGAAGATGCTAGCCTTCTCTTTCCTACCAAACAGCTTAAGTTTTCCCTCCAGATCCTTTTTCTTGTTTTTTCCCTTTGTTGCTGGTATCCCGCAAAAGTTTCTTGAGGATTTTACTCCTGGATTTCAAAGCTCCTTGCTGTCTCCTACAGTGTCACATATCCAGTTGTCTCTATGTCTCAACTTTCTATAGTGTTCATCCACTCAATGCCTTCCAGCATTGTGGTGGAACTGCTATTATGGAGATAGTATTTCTGTATGACATGTCCGAGACACTCCCCTGTAAGGTGCTCTCATTCTTTTTCCATGGCTGATGCTACTCACCTGCACTTTTTTGAGATTCTTTTTACTATAGCACATCCAAGTCCCGGGGAAATACATTCACATAAATACAATTTTGCTTCACCCGTATTTTTGGGAACTTAAAGTATTTTTTCCTTGGTGTTAAAGCTGGCTGGATTGTGTGTCTGTAACTTCTATAACTGACATCCTTAAAAAAAAAAGAAAAACCCTGCTTCTGCAGAAGTTTCTTTTTATGCTAATGGACTTGCATCACAAGTTTTCTGGTTGTATTGGCCTACAATTAAGTAATTGAAGAGATCGGATTTGCCCCCCTCCTTTTTAAAAAAAAAACATACAAACCCAAAACTTTTGCTCTAAGACTGCTATCTCTCTGGCATATTATAATGGGTATAGATAAGGCCCTCTTTACTTGACTGATATTCTAATTTCCATCATCACATCGATTTATCGATTGGAATGTTTGAATATAACACATGCATATTCATAAACTGTGTTTTGACAAGTCATCTGAAATCTAAGTTAGGCCTCACAAGCACTTTGTAAACTCAAGAGAAGCAGCTCTGGACTAGCAAATTCTCACCGATCGGCTGCATATCCAAATTTTTTTTAAAACTTTTTTTAATAAATTTGACTTTTTCCATATGGTAGAAGAGAATCTTCAAGTAGTGCTGTTCTGAACTTGACAAATGTCTTAAAACAGAAGTACAGAAATAGTAAAATGCCCTTGATGAAATGTACTTTTTCATATGAAAATGTAAGAATTCTATTCAACATAAATATCTGGCCTTCACTGCCTATGCATGCCATCTGAAAGCAAGGAGTAGAACACTGAATAGTTAACAAATGCACTTTGAAACTACTTCAACACATTCATTTTTTAAGAGTTAACATTTTACGTTTTTATGCAAGTAACATGCTTTATAATAGGAATAATGTCATAGGAGTTACAAATTACTCATGGATTTATCACTATTTCAAGTACCTTAATAAAACAGGTTCTGTACTGAAGTTTTTCAATAAAACAATACTAGAATCCATTATCTCTGAGAAAGGCCACATTCATCATAACCATGAGTACTCACTTTTCCACCCAAAGTACAGAAACTGTTTTTACGCCCATCTTCTGTGCTTTTTTCCATGTAGTCAAACGTCCATCCTTGAAGACTACATGGGTCACGTGTTTGTTCAAAGTTTTTGAGACCTGCAGAAGTACAGAGAGCTCACCTGTAAGTCTGATAATAGGAAAATGCTAATGAAACTAGCTACTGTAGTCTATTTTTAGTGTATAAACCATTAGCATAAAAACTTATTCAAAACATTATGATCTTTCCCATCTTTGCAAAAACCCTCAGACAATCAAAACTCAAGCCTCATTTTTCAAGCCAATGCAGGCTAGAGGGCTAGAGTAGCCTTTTGTTTTCAAACTTCTCTAGGTTACTAATTCCAGCTCCCTACTCTAGCTGTATCACTTACTTATGTAGTGCAACATAATTTCTTATGCAACAGCCAGTATAGAAAGCAGATGCCACGATCTAAAGAAATAGCAAATTATATCTTTTATTCAGCAAATAACTCAGGTTTAAAGAGTACAGCTAATCTCACTCTTTAAACCAATTCTCATCAATAAAGATCGCTTTTAGTTTTGAGGGAAGGCTGAAGGTGCCACTAAAAAAAGAAATTATATCTGAATGGTTTAAAAAGTGAGAAATACAGAAAATTAAAGTCAGTACAGTTATATTCCATATCTGATCAAACTGTCAATTATCAGCTTCTATTGACAACTAAGCAATAATGTTTTCAGTTCTAGATATTCCATTCTTCACAGTCAAAATTTCCTTTGTGGAAACTAAACACCCTACACAGAACTGCTTGATCAGTTGTGACTGTTGACATGGTGAGATCAATACAACCCATTTTTTACAGCAGCAGCACCTTCTCAGCACAGCCAAATGTTGCTCTCTCAGCTGCACCACTATACTTGGCTCTCAGCATGCTGTGTCTGTATTTAGCTTTAAGAAAACTATTCAGCTTTGCAAAAAATTTCTGGTGGCAAGCTGATTTATGACTTCTTAGCAGATAAAATCCCATGATTTTTAAGTATCTAGGTATACAGGACAGATGAATCTCTCTTGGAATAAGTTATGACTCCAGATACAATTGCTTACTCACTTTTGCCAGAATCCAGCTGACAGCTCAGGTCCTATGGAGACAGATGCTTGATATATCTTTGTCTCCAAATTACGGAGGAACACCATCTTATACCTCCCTCTCACCTCTCCCACCTCCTCCCTTACCCCAGACATCTTCTGAAGCTCAGGTGAACTTACCTGGAGATGTCTGAATCAACCATCTAGTGAAAAACTAATACAGAATTTAGTTTTCTGACACACTGAGCCAAGCCAGTCTACTATCATGTGCTCAGCCAATAAAAGGGAAGTGTCTGGAATAGTGAAGGGGCATGACCACCCCTTTTCAGTCACAGGGATCTGCTAAATAGGCTCATCCACATCATCTGCCTGTACCTTCCACCATATTTGACTACTTCAATCAATCTGAAGAATTTTGAAGCCCTATGCTTTTGTCATATTTTCTGTGAGAAAAATCTATCATCAGAATTGAATTACAAAGGTCTGATAGTACAGCACAAAAGAACAAGAAATATTTGTTACTTGAGTTATTTATTGAGAGTTGCGTTTGCTTTTATAGTAAAACCAGTTATCTTACTGTTCTGTCACACTCTCTCAGCTTATTTCATACAGAGAGGATTGAGGGAGATCAGCAAGCTTTCTTAATTACAGCAAGATATATCTACACATGCCCACTTAAAGAGCACTGGGAGTTCACACAAGTGTTTTTTAGAGCATGATGTGGGCTGTAAAAATCTCCATTAATCAGTGATAATGTGAAAGAAGGGAAGATGTGAGTTTGACTTTGGTCTCTGGCTGAAATTTTACAGCTGGCAATTAAACATCTTTTGCACCTACAAGTCAACTATATTTGGTATGGAAAAAATCATTTTGACATACACTGAGTCTCTTAGATGTATTTTTACAAGCACTTTCTGGAACTAAAGAACATTTGTGGGAGAGGGAATGAAAGAGTAAAATGTCACAGTACTTGAGTTAGAAAATATTTTACTAATAACAGAGCAGCTGCCTACAAGTTAAAGAAAACAAAACCACCTAAGGTGCATACTTGCAAACCACAGGTTTTCAACACTTAGATTTGTTTTGCCCACAGTACATGGCAAGCCCAATACTTCACAAGAAATGCAGGCTATCACATTAATATGCAAAGAGGTTTCTAGATGTAGAGAGGCTTTAAATGCATTTCCCATCTGTCAGAGCAAGAATTTTACAGCACGTTGGTCTGCGATTTTCTTCCTTCCTGCCCTCTAAAAACTCATACTAAACAGGAATCTACATGACAGGCAGAACAAGCAAGCTAGTGCGTAATTATTTTGAAATAAATAGAATAGGAAAGCTCTTAGTCTCCTTACTTTGGCTCCCATATCAAGAAGTTGCTGTTCAAAGGTTTTTGAGTAATTTTCTGTCCTGTTAGATGACCAAACTTCCACAAATGCCGAAACACCTGGATAAAAAGAGAGAAAGCAACAAACAACTAATAAAGTATACAATATGGTAAAACTGGTTAAGCTGCCTTTCCAATAAAATTTTGCCTCTATACATATTGTATTCACTTGCAAATATATATTTTAGTAAACTGAGTATCAGCTTTTAGCAGCAGAAAGTTTTTGTAAGCATATTTATGTCCCTTAAATTAGTTGTAATTAGGCTAACTTAGAAGTCTGACACTAGTTAAAGAACTTTTCACTTCACTTATTTAAAACACACTGCCAGATTAACAAGCAATGCATTATCTTTACATGACTGCTTACCCTTATCATTATTTAATCACTGCTAACTTCAGGTTAATCAGAAATTTGAAGACAAGTTGATGTAACACAAGTTACAGAACAAAATGAAATAACCACAATAGAATTATTCCTTCCCCAAACTCCCAGAAAACTCTACAGAAATATTACTTAACAGTTTCCCATTGACTTGAAGTTTCACTTTATTTATGTCGAACCACCCAAAATTAGGTACATATAACAGGGGCTAATACAATTTCATGTCAGTTGCCTTATATAACTTTAGGTATTCACATTTAAGTAGCTTCCTTTATCAAGCAGTTCAATGAACTCTTCAAGGAATGAAATCAGCCTTGGTTGAGAAGGTCTTTAAACAACCAAACAAAGTCTTTAAAAAAATCAATACAGAAGTACTGACATAGAGGGATAAGCAAATAAAACTCATAGCAATCCCTTCATTAATTTTAATTTCATTTATGTTGGGCACTAAAGTAAAACTACAGTTTCACTGGCCATGCCACTTTTCCATTTTGATTGATGAATCAGGAAAGTTCCAGAAACTAGAGGCATACCAGTTCACCAAAAACAACTTTACACAAACCACAGGCCAGACAACTCTCAGAACTGATGAATTAAATTGAGAGTTTCAACTTAAAAGGGTCATCCTTTGTAAATATTGCTTAATTGTCTTAGTTACTACACATGCCTTGCTGATTAACTATTAAGTAGTGTCATCTGTCTTCTTTCTAAATGAAAACCAGAATAATGGTCCAACAGTAGAAGTACTTCTATAGATTTACATATTTTTATAATTGCTAGAAATACTTTTGACATACAAGAGAAATATGGAACATAAACCACTTCCTCATTCAGTCCACTGGGAAAAATCTTATTATCAGTACTATGACTCCAGATATACATGGGAACTTAAATCTACTCCAGTGCAGCAGCTGGGTTCATTCTACTACTAGACCAGGACAACATCTGAGAGAGTTGCTTTTTTCCCTTGATTCTTTTATTGTGAGAAACACTGCACTTGCATTTGAAGAGACACTATCTTCTTACAGGAAATATTTTAGAACCTTCATAGTTATAATTCTCCTAAAAAAACACATCATAGCATTTCAGTAAAGGCCACACTAGGAATTTAGAGGGATGCTACTTCAAAGCTCCATGCACCTGCAGGAGGATCAAAGGTATATTTAATGATAATTAGTCAATTTTAGGAAATCAAATATACTCCAACAAAAGCCAAGGCCCTTTGTAGTTTTTGTATAGTTGATGGAAAGGAAAATGAAGAAGCGCTTTTTTCAACTAAAAGAGCTCTGAAATATGAAAACGCCAACTTATGCTTAGAAGGTCTCAGAGAAGTAGTGATCGCTGAGTTGCCATTAGAGGGCAACTTGGCGAGGCAGAAATTAAGAGAGACGCAGAAGGAAGCCAGGACTGACCGGGGCAGGGAGAGCGGATGGCGGCTCCGAGCCATGCAGTACCGGGAGCCACCCCAGCGGGGCAGCCCGAGCGAGGCGGGTCCGGCCCGTCCCGGCGCCTCACACTCGCGCCGGGCCTGCCGGGCACAGCCCGCCTGCCCCGGAACGGCCAGGCCCAGCCGCCGGGACCGGGCGGGTTCGCGGCGAGCCAGAGCAACCTGCGGGGGAGCCCCGTCCCCCCGCCACCGCCGGCCGCGACTGCAGCCCCTCACCCGCCCGGCCCGGCCACTTCCCGCCGGCTGCCCAGCCGGAAGGTGCCGGAGTAAGGGCCGCAAGGAGACGGAGAGAGGGACAGTGAGACCCGCGCCAGCCCGGCGGCCCTTCTCGGCTGCGCCGGGAGAAGCCCCCGCGGGGCGGACGGGCCGATACCTGTCAGAACGGGCTCCATTGGCGCCACAACCCGGGAGGCTCCGGCGCCCGCCACGGTTCAAACTCGCCCCCGCGCCGGCCCCGCCGCGCCTGCGCTCTGCGTGGGGCTGTGCCGGGGCGCTGAGGGGGACCCCGAGGGCAGGGCCTGTGGGGGGGCCGGAGGGATCGACGGCCGCGTCGTGTCCGCACAAGTCGGGGGTGCAAAGTGGTGCGTGCGCCACGCAGTCCTGCTCAGAAACAGGTGTGTGCTCTGCCCATCTTCGGCCCTGCCCTGCGCCGGAGGATGGTTGGTGACAGCGAATGCTGTTGGAAACTGTGCTACAGAGTCACAGAATCACTTAGGTTGGAAATGACCTCTGAGATCATCAAGTCCAACCTATAATCAAACACCACCATGTCAACTAGACCGCCAGGGACGGTGACTCCACCAACGCTGCGGGCAGCCCATTCCATTATCTAATCATTAATTCTGGGAAGAAATTCTTCTACATGTCCAACCTAAACGTCCCCAGGTGCAGCTTAAGCCTACATTATATTGACCTGTCACTAGTTGCCTGGGAGAAGAGATCGCCACCCAGGTGGCTACAACCTTCTTTCAGGTAGCTCTAGAGAGCAATGAGACCCCCTCTGGGCTTCCTTCAGCCTAAAGAACCCCAGCTCCCTCAGCTGCTCCTCACGTGACTTGTGCTTCAGACCCTTCACCAGCTCCGTTGCCCTTGTCTGGACACGCACCAGTGCAATGTCATTCCTGAACTGAGGGTCTTAGAACTGGAGACAGAACTCAAGGCGTCGCCCCATCAGTACTATTACAAGGGAAGAATCATTTCCTTATTCCTGCTGGCCACACTATTTCTCTGCAGGTTGGGATGCCAGGATGTTTTGACAACCAAACACTAAGTGAATTTTCTGTGTTGCCATTCACCATGAGGAGTCCTCAGGAAGAATTTTAGTTTCTAGAAAGGTGCATCAGAGTACCAGTAGCCTCTCAACTCTCTGGTGGCGCAAACTGCAGTGTCTGAAGTGAAAAAGCCAGCAAAACAGGGATTAGCAAAGAGCACTATGAGATGGTATTTATGAAAGCTTACAAAATTGCTTGACAGCAACTGTACTATTAACTGCAGTTAGTGCACCATAGCAGGAACTGGCTTTGGTGCTAGAAGGCTGAAGTGTAGTAAATGTGATACCAGAGGGAAATTAGAGAAAAACTGATGGTTTCCCCAGGAAAAACGATAAAATGTATAAAAAATAGTAGAATTAGTGTGTATAAAGAGATTTGCCATGAGAAAGAAGGAGTACATCGAGGAAAATGATGCTGCACAGCTTCATTATACAAGTCATACAGCTCAGGAGATGCTATATGGCTGGACAAATATGGTTGTCCTGAAATCTTCAACGTGCAAACCTCATTTCATCATCTGAAAAATAATGTAGCAGATATGGAAAAACAAGAGAGATGCAAAACAAGGATATTTAGTGATTTCCTTAGCAGAAATTACTATTCAGACAAAAACTTGTCAGCTTGGAAAAGGAACAGTGGAAGCTGGATGTGCTAGAGGCCGTTAAAATCATAAACATATGCAGAAGGTGGACCTGGAGTGGCACATTCCCGATGAGAGATAGTGAGCACCAAAAGACTGGCAGATGGCATCTTCTCGGAAGAGATATTTCCACATTGTGCTTCATCAGGCTGTGGAAGTGTGTTCAGAGTGCTGGTAAACCACATGGTTTCTAGAAGCATATTCAGCAAATTCATGAAATCCATTTTAAGACTATAAAAAGTGTACAAAGCCATCTTTCCGTCAGTAAAGCCCTGAATTGTATATTGCTGGACTCTGAGAAGGTACAGTGAATACTTTGGTGTTTTCTTTTGTTCTTTGTTTCAGTAATTTCCCACTGGAGAGACAGTGCTGATCTAAAATACCTTTGGGTCCATTATGTCCATTCTTACTTTCTTGGACAGACTCAAAATCTTGACCCCTAGGAGTCTTCCAAGCAGATGGCTGTACCAAATCTATTTAAGATATCTTAATTTATTATATAATATTTTAGTATTGATTCAGTTTGTTTAATTTCCAGAGCATTGATATGGCACTAGATCTATGGCATATGTTGAGCACAAGTTCTTGGGTCCTTCATCTGCTGAACCTGTGACAGACTTCCTTTCAGTTTCGTGTTCACTATGTGTATAAAGTGACCAGTCAATCTACATATATATATGTTTGTTTGCATTTACCTATCTTTTGCATTTCTGTCAGTATATTACACAGTATTTTGCTAAGCAATAATGTAATATTTTTACCAAGGTTCTCAACTGTGCCTCAAGGAAAAGGGAGGCTAGTCTTAATGCAGTGTCTATGAGCATTAATCTGAAGGCATTTTCAGAAGTGGAGGTAGGGGAGATTTAAATGTACACTGCAAACCCTTAGTAAAAAATCCACAGGCTGTGTTTGAGCCCTTATGTAAAAGGTAGTTTTTAGACACTAAAGGGAAAGCACACAGGTTTTTTAGACACTAAAGGGAAATATGCTGAATTGTACAATTATTTCTGTGTGCTCTGATTCTACACTGGTAGAGAAAATGAAGAGTAGTAGTTGCAAGAAGATGTTATAATTCATTATCGGAGCAGACTAGGACTACTCATGAGAACACTGGGTTTGGGATGCCCACCTTTTTTATTACAGAAATAAATACATACAATGCTGAAAATATCCTACAAATTTACAGTTTTGTCCTAAACTGTTGACATTTTGACCTCAGAGTTACTTCAGGCTTTACAAGAACTCAATTATCAGATGGTGACTACCCTTCAGAATTCCATGGGTAGTTAATAGTTGTCTGTTCTTGTGCCAGTATTGTCTTGCTGTCAGTTCCTCCTTAGCATTTATAATCCTGTAGTACTTACAGAAAGCAGCAATATATTTTTACAGCTGCTATTTTGTCAGTTTGAATACATCAGGCTGTTTTAGCTTTCATGCCATAAGGAACTCCTGAAAATGACAACAAATGGAGCTTACATTAAGTAAGTGCCATCTTAATAGTCTTGTTTTTTGGGTTGATGACATGCAATTTCATGGTGTCTATAAAGCTAGGAATGTAGCATCAACTATTAGATTGACATGATTTCTGCACAGTCCGTACTTACTAGGACATACAGGTTATGGAATGAAGCACTGGCAAGAAAGAGTTTTACAGGTAAGTAATCTTGAGATAGGAAGGAACAGTGAAAGTTACATTTCAACTGACCTCCTAATCAAAAAGAGTTAATAGTCCAAAAAAAGTAAAAGTCTTATGAATACTGAAATGTTTGTCAGGCATCCAAAGAATTTGAAAAACTAAAAAAACCCCAACAATGCAAGTAGTTTTCCAAAGCTAGGTAAAATATGAAAAAGATCTGTATTCTCAAGTCTTTCTTTGATAATTCAAGAGTCCTTCTCAGCCAGCTCTTAACTGATTGATATAAATTGGAAGGGACCTTTGGGATTGTATTTTGTAAGGCTATATCACAGAGACAAGGTTCATTTCTCAGACAGAGTTCAGATGGTGGGCTATGTATTACTCCCTAAGACATGACATTAAGTGTATGAAAGATACCTAGAACAAATAAGGAGGTTTGCTATTATTAAGTGGAGTCTAATTTTGTGTATTGATTATTGGGTGGTGTTTGTTTGTTTCTTTTCTTGGTTGGCTTTATGTTTCCAATTTGGGCAAACAACAACTTTAACCTTTTGTATTTTCTCTTTTTTTTGACATTCTTAAATTTCCAAGTGTAAGTTATGTCCCAGGTAAACTTAAACAACTGGGGTGCACTACTTCCTATAAATCAGTAAATCCCAGTCAGTCAATTTGTTTCTTTAATACCTGAACACTTGTATAACAATTGCAGTTATCATCTCTAAATGCTACTTGACCACTACAGATGTAGAGGCAGGAAGAAGTGCTTGGAGGAGGTACAAACTTGCATGGTCCCTTCATGGAGAAAGCTCCAGAAAGCAGCTGTGATTGTCCACATCCACTATCATCATCTCCTCTGAAAAAGTAGACTCCTCATTTTCTCAGTGAGCCCAACAGTTCTTGTCTGTTCCTGTTTCAGTTTGAATTTTGATTTTTTAAGTAGCACACAAAATTGTACAGTGTATCTACTGTGTACTATGCCATTAACACTGGACTGCTAGATACACTTTACATAATTCACCCTATGATCCTTTTCTCGGAACCACATAATTATTCTGTGATAGACTAATATTTCCAGCTCATGAGTTATGGCATCGCAACTGCTTGTTTATTAGTTTTCAATTTCATTGCATGCCAATATGTGAGCTCATCCAATTGTTTTTGTATTCTGGTCTGCCTGTGTTTTAATAAAGCCTCTGTTCAGGCCATCTGCAAATTTCATTAGCACACACTTTTTTATTTCCAAGCTCATAATTAAAATAGTAAGTAAGATGAAATCTTAACTGTATCTAAGACTTAGCTGGAGCTATGACTGGGTCTTAACTGCACTTTCAGGATCTCCACTAGAATATTCTTTATTTCTCCCTCTCCTGTGATCCATCTTATGCCTATTTATCTTCCCCATTTAGGACTTGAACAAACCCCCTTCTTCTTCTTCATATGTAGTAGTAACGTAACGTATATCAAATGGTTTATTAAAGGAACATAGATTTAATCTTTGTTACCTCCATCTAGAGAACAGTTTTCTTATGAAAAAGTGGTATATGCTAGCATGATCTCAGGAATGCTGATTTATGCAACTGACAGTTTTTTTCCCTTCCCTGTGCCATATGTTGCCCCTAAATGCCTTTTCCTTTCTCCTATCCTAGTTGGTATAAAAGTCAGCAAAATTGTTCCTGACCAGTTAGCACCAGGAAGACATCTTTGGGCCCAGAAATGGCCACTTCCAGCTGATTAGACTTTTGATGATGCACAGTAGAATTACAGACCAGGAAGCCAGCTGAAAGTGGTGCTAATATAGCTCAAAATTGGGACTATACTAGTGAAATAAACTCTCATGTTGCCATTTTTCATACCACATAGTGATCTGACATACAGGCTGGCAATAGCTTGTGCT